ATGGGAGAGATGGTGGATGAGTGGTCCGCGCAAGGCAAAGCGGCCAAGGGTCAAGAGTTGGGTTTTTTTGACGATTTCGACCACTAGGTCACTCTTGTGTGCAACCTGCATTAACACTGACTTTCAGATGGGTAGGTTTGTGCAGACTCCATCCTCATGTTCGCCCAAAAAGTATCCTAAGTCCTGAAGTCCCAAATTTATCTCAGCTCACATGTTTTCACAATGATGGCGCCAGGCCTCATCAACTGCTACGGCCAGAAGCTGAGCGTCACCGAGATGCAGAGTGAAGCTGGTGCCGCTGGCGCCTTGCACGGTGCCTTGAAGGCAGGCGCCTTCAGCACCACTTTCACCGCCAGCAACTTGGGCCTTGAAAGCGGCCAGGGATGGCCAGGGGGTCAGGTGGTGGAGGTTTTTGTGGGTGGTACGGTGGTAGCAGTAGCTGCTTTGCTAAGAAAGAGGCGACAAGAGGCATGCGGGGAGGTGGTCTGAGGAGGTTGACTGAGTTGACTGTGCCTTGAAATCGGCTAGAGGTGGAGTGACTTCGGTGTGCCGTGACAGTTCCTCTCAGGTCAGGGCTTGCTGTTGATGATCCCGAACATGTACAAGATTGCGGGTGAGTTGCTCCCTTGCGTCATGCACGTGGCTGCTCGTGCGTTGGCAGGACAGGCGCTGTCCATCTTTGGAGATCACAGTGATGTCATGGCTTGTCGTTCAACGGGCTGGGCGCAGCTGGCTTCAGAATCTGTGGAGATGGCACAGGTCAATGCCATCGTGGCCCACCTTGTTTCAATGGAACGCCGAGTTCCCGTGCAGCACTTCTTTGATGGTTTCCGCACCAGTCACGAGGTGAACAAAGTCAAGTTGATTGACTACAACACCATGAAGACTTTTATCAATTGGGAGGCTGTCAAAGAGCATCACGATTTGGCCATGAACCCTCGGCATCCTCACGTGCAGGGCACTTCGCAAGGGCCTGACATCTTCTTCCAGTGCGTGGAGGCTGGCAACAGCTTCTATGATGGGTTGGCTGATCTTTTTGAAGAGAAGGGGAAGATGATTCAAGAGAAGACTGGTTTGCACTTCGCCCTCTACGCCTATGAAGGCCACCCCGAGGCAAAACACGTGATTGTGGTTATGGGCAGTGCAGCAGTGACTTGCGGAGAGACTGCCAGTTTCTTGTCCAAGCACAAGGGACAACGCGTGGGGGTGTTGAAGGTTCGTCTTTTCCGACCTTGGGACAGTTCCCGCTTTTTGGCAGCTTTGCCAACAACCACCGAGCGCATTTGCGTTCTGGACCGCACCAAAGAGCAGGGCTCGCAGGGTGAACCACTGCTTCTGGAGGTGTCTTCGATGTTGCATGCCAGCGCTCACTCCGAAATTGTGGTGGTTGGAGGCCGCTATGGGCTTGGTTCCAAGGAGTTTACGCCCAACATGGTTCTCTCAATCTACGAAAATCTAGCCCAGGAGAGCCCCAAACCACGCTTCACTGTGGGCATCAACGATGACGTGACCTTCCTGTCGTTGCCAGTGGGCCCATGGCTCAACGTGCTTCCAGAAGGCACCACTGAGTGCATGTTCTATGGACTCGGAAGTGACGGAACCGTGGGTGCCAACAAGAGCGCAGTGAAGATGATTGCGATGGGCACGCAGCTTCATGCTCAGGCAGGACTTCTGCTGTGTCGTGAAATCTTTCAAGATAGCAACCAATTCATTATGTAACGATTCAGCCACTGAGACCTAGCACTCTTCAATTTGCCGCCCGTAATGGTGGACACACCTTTGTTGAAGCTTGAAACTGCATCCACTTCGGCACTCCCAGGCCTACTTCGAGTACGATGCCAAGAAAAGCGGCGGCGTGACCATCAGCCACTTGCGCTTTGGTCCCAAGCCCATCCATGCTCCCTACAATGTGCGCGCCGCGGACTACCTGGCTGTCCACAAGCAAAGCTACGTGAACAGCTATGTGGCTTGGCAAAATCCATTGGCAATCTTTCAGCCATCATGGAACATTCGTGACGAACTCCATGACGATTTCATATTATCAAAAACTTGATGAGCATCTGTGCAAGAAAGATATATCGTTGCGGTAACACGACACTTGCCTGAACTTGTCGATGACAGTAGATACAGTACATGATACTTCAACCGCGTGGCCAAAATACCTGTATCCAGTATCCACTTCACAAAAGAAACCACAACGACTAATAACCCATGATTGCCTGATGTCGGCCCCTGCTGGCTCCCGTGTCACAGCTGTTTAACCACGAGTCCGGCAGGTTGCAGTTCCCATATAACATAAAACTAGGCCGTTGACGTCTTCCCCATACAATACGATACCAATCCTATGTGGACAGGTGCCGGTGTAGTTCTAGATTGGGCCAGGACATGACACGGTACTTGAAGCAGAACGCCGTGTGCGTCATCAACTGCTCCTGGGACAAGAGTGAGTTGGAGAAGCAGCTGCCAGCCAAGATGCGCAAGGATTTGGCTGAGAAGCAGGCGCTGATGGCAAATGGCAGTGGGGCTATACCACAGACCTATTCCCAAATGTTTTTTTCTTCACATCATTCACATCCCAACAACAATTGGGGCCACAGTTTTGAGATGTCTTGAAACTAGAGTAGAAGGGTTTTGACCCAGTCTGACCAATTGCCATAGCATGTCAGGCCAAGCTCTTCATCATTGATGCCACCAAGATTGCGGTGAAGGTGGGTTTTTGCACCACGTCCAGAATGATAACAGGTGAGCATCAGCATTGGCAAACTCTTTTTTCCCCGGGGCTGTACACACACACACATGATCTTGGATTGACACTGTTTGGATCTGTTTGGCAATCCACATTTGCTGTGAAAACGCATCTCAAATGTCGAAAGGCATGTGGAGGATTGAGTGATCCCACATGTTTTAACATGCTTTTTCATGCTGTTGAGACAGGCGGGACTTGGAAAGCGCATCAACATGATCATGCAGACGGTCTTCTTCAAGCTCAGCGCATTACTCAGCTCTTCATTTTTTGCTTTTACATTGGATTTCTGATGCCGCCATCGTGTGACTCCCACAGGGCACAAACTGCTAGGTGTGCCATGTGCTTGCCAAACATTGGAAATCTTGCTGGCAAGCCCACAGATTCATGTCATTTATTGTAATCGTAAAGTATCATATTCATAAAATCCTATCTGATCCAATTTCGGGGTCCTGTAGAACACTGCTCAAAGCTGCTCTTCGAGTCAGGATCAAAGCCTTGTTCAGTCGGATGTCCCCCGTGGTTTTCAGGCGCAGTGATGCCTTATGAAGAGGCTGTGGAGATGTTGAAGAAGAGCATCAAGAAGATGTACGGCAAGAAGGCCGAGTGTCAACGCCTGATGATTCAAAAATTGACTGGGGGGTTCCATAGTCATGGGGGAATCCTAGCTGGATGGATGGTTATTATATGATGGAAGATACGAAAATAACATGGATGATTTAAGGGTACCCCAAAGTTCTGATTGGGTAGGTATCATGCTGGATCAATTTATGGGGATTGTCTTGTCCAAAAATCATTGAGACCTACCTGCAGTGCAGTGGTTCGAGTCAACCCGGCTGAGTGGGACAGAGATTCATGAAAGACACTGAGTGGGACAAGGCTTCGGGATTTCTATATTTTTTTGAACATCTTTTCCATCATATGAATCTACAACCCTTCTCCTGAAGTTTCCGGATCATCCTTGCCA